CAAGTATTGTAAATACCATAACTAATTTAATTTAAATAATAACTATCATTCTTTTAATAATAATTAGAATGAAACAAGCGATTACAATTTCTCCTAAGCAAATTTTTGATTCACTAAAACTCAAATACTGTAAACATCCATAACTACTTTAGTTTAAGTAATATCTATTTTTCTTCTCAAAATTACTAAAACAAAATAATTAATTATAACTTTCCCTGTGCAAATTCTTTGTTCACTAAAAATCGAGTTTTGTAAATGTCTATAACTACTTTAATTTAAATAATAATTACTTTTATTTTAATAATAATTAAAGAAAAATAAGAAATTACAGTTTTCAATGTGAAATTTTTTATTTTAAATTTATAATTTACAAAAAATTATTAATGTTGGAAAAGTTTTCAGGGACTTAAAAAATTATAATATTTTGAAGACTTTATTGTCATTTATATATTTTAAAATATTTTTATGTCATTTTCTCAAGGTTTTTTTCCTCATCAACAAAAAGCTTTCGGTATTGTTACCAAAAAAAAAAAAAAAAAAAGCTTTCGGTATATATCTATATCTCACACACATACACACAAACAACACACACACTCCCTCCCCTCCCTCTCTATCTATCTATCTATATATATATAATAGTTCACACGTGCGCGTTATACAATACAATATAATATATCTATAGCCTTTAATTATGAAATTATTTCTATATATTTTGAATTTAATATTTTTCTTTTATAAAGTTCAACTTAAAGTATTTTTTAAAAATATTAGTCCTCCCTGTTTCATTAATCCAATGGGGTCAATTAAAAATAGATAAAAACTAACATACTTAGCCTTATTTATTTAAGATATTTATTTTCAATTAAATTATGATATATGTATATTTAATAAATTATTTATTTATAAGAAATTATTTTTTTAATATTATTAACACATTGAAATCCACATGTTATAACTTGATTGGATAGAAACATATTAAGAATATAAGACTAAATACATAAGTCTAACCTTTAAAAATATTAGTTTTAGAAAGATTCTATTTCTAGTGCCTCAAAGGTGAAATAATGTTCAAATTTTTATTAAGAGAGGTGCTTATATTTAATAACTGATCATGTTTTAAATTGAATTACTTTTAATAGAAAGATATTTACAAACAATAAAAAAAATGAAAGATTCCATTTCAAAAATAAGAAATTGATCGTTAAACATTATTTTTAATCCCAAAAATTTCTCTAACTTTATATTTAGTTAAAGTATATATTTAATCATTTAACTTAATATAAAGTTTCATTTTAGTCTCTTATTTTTAGGCTTAAATATATATTAGATCCTTTAACTTTAGGCAATGTTATATTTTGGTCTCTTAATTTTATAAAGTGCCTTTTCATTCCTATAATCCTAATATTGTTAGTTTTATCAATTGAACTTTCAAATATTAAAAAATCATTCTCAAATGTTATCATATTAAATTTATTTTTTAAAATAATAATGATTAACACAAAAAATAATTATCTAAAACTAACGTTGTTAGAATTAAATAATTAAAAAAATATTTTATAAAATTAAGAGATTAAATTAAAGCCTTATATGAAATTAAAAGACCAAAAGTGCTCCAATGAGGGGTTGGCGCAGTGGAGGTGGACTACAACTTTTAAGAAAGAGATCTTAGGTTTAAAGAGTTGAAGTCGTGGGGACACCTTTAGGGGAACCCCTCAGCTGCAAAGTGGCTAATTAAGTGGGGTACCAATAAAAAAGAAGAAGAAAACTAAAAGTATACTTTAATTTTTAATTTTATAAAATATTTTTTTATTTCTTTAATTTTAACACTGATAGTTTCATCAATGAGGAATTCCTACATTGAAATATTAAATATTGATACCTTAAACATTGGCATTTTAAGTTTAATTCTTTAAAATAATAATGATTGATATAAAAATAATTCTTTGAAATAATAGTATTGAGGATTAAAAAGATACTTTATAAAAATAAAGAATCATAATGAAACTTATATAATATTTTATAACTAAATCGATAACTTAGACTTTTATATTTTGAACCCAAAATTTTATATCAACTCCAATTTTTAACGAAGGTAGCATCTATTATGGCATAAGACATGACTTTACAAATTGAATAAGATGCTAAAGTGATGACACATTAAAGGTCAAAAGAAAAAGTGATGACTCAGATATCAGATTTCAACCTCTTTTTCCCCTTTCTTCCTTCTTCTAATTAGTCCAAGGCTACTTTAGGAAGTTCATGCCCCTTTGATCAGCCATGATTTTTCGAAAGTGTTGATATTATTCCTTCAAATTTATTACAAGGGGGCCCCTTTTTGTTCCCCCAAGCATAAAGAAAAAAAAAATTAAGAATCGATAGTCAAACAATGTTATAAAAAAGTGATATTTTTCTTTGGTTTAGCAAAGCGATCAATCACAGAAAATGGGCATCCTTTCCCTTTCTAGAGCAATGATTCCTAGGTTAACTCAATTAAATGAATGAGAATATTATTTCCATTATAATCAAATTTAAATATAATTTTTTTTGCCATCACTAATTTAAATTAATATAATCCTCTCTTCGTTTTAAATTGTGAGATACTTTTAAATAAAATTTTACATATCAATAAAATTGATTAAATACATTTTATAACCTTATTTTTTCAAGATAAAAATATAAACTTTTAAAAATATCATTCATTTAATACTCCATTGATAAAATAACATTGAAAAGAGAGAATACATGGGAAGGATAATATTGAAAAAATATTATTAATGAAATTTTATTTTTATTAAAATGTATATTTTAGAATGTTGAATCTTTTTTAAAAGTATCTTATAATTTGAGTTGAAAGAAGTATAAGTTAACAGTATAAGTCTACAACTCCCATCACTTTTTTTATTGATTTATGTTGATTGATGATTTAAAATAAGGTTATTGAAAGTTTGTATCACATATCAAAATATTTGAAATCTAGATAATAGAATATGGAATATCTTGACTTATCTTTTATAAAACTATTTTAAAAAACTAGTTTAGATAAATTAATACAATTTAAATTAAAAATATCATAAGATCTTAATCTTTTCACTTGATTAAAATTTCATAACGCCTCCCAATCCTCAATTACCAATCTTTAAAAGAGTTAACCTTGCTCAAATTTCGTCCAAAAGAAGTACAATGGTCATTTTTCCAATAATTAACAGGAGATTAAAAGTGTTTTGATTAGCAATGTCAATCTTTTCCCATCATTGTTCATGAATTTTCTTCTGTCCAAGTATTTGTAAATAATATAATTTGAACAGTACAGCTTCTATAAAAGGACAATAATCAATGACTTCATTTAATTTACCTACATTTATCTTGTATGCAAGTTGAGCTTATTGCTTTTCTGAATCATTGAGATGTATATACATTGGTGTTGTTGCTCTTGCTAGTCAATTGAGTTGGATAAGGCACTAAGATATTTAATTTTTCAGAACAACTTTGTTTGACATGTCATCATCATTTGTTTGTGAAATCCTCTCATAGGTTGTCAAGTATGAGGACAAGATTGATGACATTTTTTTTTTAAAGAAAAGATCGAAGTCTAAAATTTATATACCTTATAAACATATTATTTTCATGACAATAAAATATTCCATTGTGTGTGTGTGTGTGAATTTGACACTTCAGTTTCAAGCTTGTGACTTTAAAGATTAGTGGGACTTTGAAGCTTTGTGAATTTAATACTTCAGTTTCAAGATTGTAACTTTGTATAATGTGAACAGGCTATAAGACGTCTTGCATTGTTCTTTAAGGGATCAAAGAGCAATTTCACCCTTAAATTACAAATCTATGAGCGTCTAAAATTCTAAACTCTTTTTTTATGCAATGTTCTCTTTTAACATTTAAAAATAATGCAATATCACTCCTACTATTAATTAAAGTTAATTTTGACTATTAACCGACAAGAAAATGATAAAAAATACCACAAAAAATATATAAAAGGACTAAAATAATTGCATAAAAGAACCCAAAGTTACAAATAATGACACAAAAAATTGCAAAAAAAACCATGAAAATTTTCTTGATCCTTTTTTATAATTTTTAAATTATTTTCTATAATTTTTTAATCTACTAACAGTCAAGGTTAACATTTGTTAACAATAAGGGCAATATTGAACTATTTTTAAAAGTTAAAGAGGAATATTGTAAATAAATAAATTTAAAATTTCAAACACTCCAAGACATATAGTTTATGGATAAATTTGTCATTTATCCTTTTTTAATTTTAATAAAATATCATGTTTCCCTTTTCATTATTTTCTAATCAGTTTCATACAAAACCAAATGAATGGAGAAGATAAACAGACAATTGTGTGTGGAATCCTTCATAGAAAATCATCAATCTATGGTATAAAACTTGTAACAAGCTTCACAATTTAATCTTATTATGGTCTAATAGAATATTCTTTTCTCAATTTGGAATTCTTAGTCATGAATAGTAAATCTCATCAATATATCAATATTTCTTTCAATCTTATATATAAATCATTGTTGACAACCTTACCAAAATTAATGAGAGGTATTTAAATTATTGATATTGTCTAAAAAAGAAAGAAATTTTTCGATTTATCTTTAGTAAATGCATCATCTTAATCTACTCGTAGAAAATTGCGGAGAAGTAAAACTGAGAGAAAGTAATTCATAGTCTGTCTTTTTATGCAAAATAACTTGTGAAAAAGACCATCAATTCTTTCAATTGTTCATAATTCTCAATGAAAGTATTACAAAATTCTATCCTCTTTATATTCTGTTCCCCTTTTCTCTTGGCTGACAGAAAATTCACCACTTTCTCTTTAAAGCCAAAGTGATGATAAATTGAATAGTTCTTGCAACTTTGCTGACTCCTCAAGCTCTTTAATTTCCTAACTACTTGAAAACTTAGAAAATTGAGTGTGAAAGGCATGAAAAAAGCAGTACTTTTATATTTCTTAGGAGACATATATCACTGATGATATGCTTCAATGGGACGCTTTCATTCATAACACAGCATTTTTCATCATAAACGTGTAGGCCATTGAATGCTAAACACTTAGCATCCACATTATACTGATGAACTATAGCAGATACATGAATAAAAATACTTTCTTTTAAACTTTTTATTGTAGTACTGGTTTCATACTCATGCTTGATCCAAAGAATAGAACTTACAATCATTATGCCTCCCCATTGTAGAGGGAGGAAAAAATAACAGAAAAGAAAAAAGCAAACATATCAAAATAGCTTGTACACCTTAGTGACATTCTGGTGGTAGAACTTTGAACCTGGGTCTGTCATTACAGTATGAGTAAAACATCAATTTCCTTCTTGCCCAGTCCATGGCTTCTATCTGCTGCTGAGACAGCTTTATGAACTCTGGTCCATTAACTGGGTCTAATAAGCTTGAAGAAATGGCCTTCACACAAGAAGACACTGTGGCCAATTCTGTGGGATTGGATATGCAGCCGCTGAGTTCCATGTTAGTGAATGAAACAACAAATGGTGCATACTTATAATTAACTGGGTACTTTCCTCCGTGAGTGGCCCATTCTGAACCATCCCATATTGTGGCATGTACGGACATTGGCTTTGATGGGTAAATAGAAGGATATTTATTACTGTGTGTGAACTCCCTCACTGGTATGTTGTCCACTAAGAACCTGCAAGATTCAGATACAACAATAACAAGCACATAAAATCTACAGCTGAGTTGTACTATTTGCAAGCCAAATATAGCATGGCTCATTCTTCAAACTTAGTGAAATACATAGGGAGATGTGCCTAGTTCTGCTTATATCAAAAACCATTCTCATCTCATCATTTTGTTAGAGTTAGTTCTGTCTCTGAAGCTTAAAAGCTTGTACTTGAATCTCTGTTGTTTTCAAGAAAATTCAGCTTGGCATTGTTATCAAACTTATGTCTATGCACTCTTAAATTCTATTAAGTGTTAACTTGTCTAGTCATTTACTATATTTTTTTGATATAACTATCTGACTGGGTTAAATTTGAACATTGTCTGGCTTAATTAGAAATACATCTCTCAAAGGAGTTTTTGGCATTCACACTAACTCAAACCATCTACTTAAGTGGCCATGGCCCTTTCCATTAGGACCAATGCCTATTGATCTAGTCATTTACTACATTGCTCTAAATATGGATGATTCAAGCCAGCATGTCGATAAAGTGGTATCTGATTATTTAGTGCTTAACTGGAACATGGTTGTTCATGCCAGCAAAATCTAGCAGTACAATATAGCCAAATTTAAAGAAAACTTAAGTGACAATCTAGGGATTAATAGAGTAGTTTAACATTATCCCTGTCTTTTTTAAGGTTGAAACATGGTTTTCCTTACACTGTGTGATAGTTGTTCCAAAGGATGCTGTAATGGTGATGCTGCTCTGTTGGGTCAAACCAGAGATAGAACTTCTCTTCTCTTCCTGTGCTGACACTTCCATTGGCATATATATTTGTCTGAACGATCCAATCGTTTCTCTTATCATGACCAAGCAGCTCAATATCTATCTCATCGTGGTTGTGAGGGAATGCATCTGCATTAGACAGCTGACATTTCCTCTTGTTAATTTCTTGAGTAGCAATAGCCTCATAGACGTTTCAATGCAAATATATATATATATATATTTTGTATTGTAGTATACTCTCTCCGATCATATTTATAAGTTATTTTTACCAATCTCATCAATACCAATACAATAAAAATACAAGAAATAAAAGTAAGTGAAATTTCAAACATAACCCTTAAGTAAAAAACAAAAAGTAAGCTAATCATATAATATTATTTTTTCTATCTCTCTCTTACTTTTTAAGGGTAGTTTGGGAATTTTAATTTAAAACAAAACAATTCCATCAACTAATGACTTATAAAGTGGGTCAAATTATATTTCTAAAAGGTGATTAATATTCAGGATCGGAGAAGTACTTGTTAAATTAAGAAAATTCTTATGGATATACATTGTAACTATCTATTCAAGGAATCAATGAAAACTCACTGAAATGAGTGTTTTTGGTTTAAAGAGTGTTAGTGTTGGACATATCATACTTGTTCAAAACTCTAGGAATAAATTAACAATTGGGTAAAAAAAAAAATTATTAGTTATATCTAGCTTTAGCCCTAAATTTTAATGAGTAAGCAAGTTTGACCCTGAGAGTAACAAGCTTGTTGCATGTTAGTCCGCTCTACATCGCTGATTAGTTGGCAGAAAATTAATGGAGACTAACAGGTACACTTTACTAATCTGGGTGTAAATTTAAATGTACTGAAAAATTCAGAGATAAAATTGCCAGAGAGATTAGAGAAAATTCTTACATAGAAGGCTACAACAACTCCAGATGACAGACCAGTAGGTAACTTGATTGCAGCACTGAAGAATCCATAGTAGTATCTGCTTCGCGAGACCAAACCAGAGCCTGTGGAGCAAAAAGAATTAAAAAAGGTTTCACAAAAAGCTCTCAAAGATCAAAACTTTACACATTGATTTAAGTAAGCATCATTGTAACCTGAAGTTTTGTCCAGAGCCAGAGTGGCCATGGACCCATTGCTCAGAAACTGAATATTTGAGGCACCAAAAGATTTAGAAAACCCACGATCAACTTGAACATGTGGAAAAGAATCAGTTAAAGGAGTGACACTCGGAGCTGTATAATGTCTGTCATGAGAAGAAACACGAAGTGCTAAGCAAAAGAATATCAGAAGAACAGAGAGAAATTGCTTTTGTCGCCAAACTGCCATGTTTTAGTGCAGTGATGAAGAGAAAAATATGGCATGTTAGGGATATTTATTGGAAGAGGATTAGGGAGGATCCTAATCTCTGCTTAGTTGTTCACTAGCTGGCTATCTTTTCCTTAGTGTCTTATTTGGGGTAGTTGTTTCGCAGTAGGACCAAGTAGGCAACGCATGTGTCTGTGTGTACTGTGTTGGTTCTAACTGATGAAATGATAGAAGGAAGTTGGGTCAACACTGTTCTACATTCTTTTGTATGAAGTTGATGATTGTGATTATTGGTAATAATAAAGACAAGTTGGATTAAATGCATGTCCAACCAAGTAAACTCAAGTAGTAGTTAAAAGAACTAAGGTCAGGAATTAGGACTTTGATTTCTTTTTTTTTTTTTAGCGTAAAAGTCTAAAAGGATAATTTTATTCTTGAATTATAGACCTAAAAGTATTTAAAATCCTAATTTTTTCTTTTTTGGTGCATTGTTGTTTCTCAACATTTAAAAGCATCGAAATATGTCTTCTCACACTGACTATTAAGTCAAACCATATTTTCTTTTATAAGACTAGTCAACATTCTTGTATTTAATATGAGGGGGTAGATGGCAATGTTTTTAAATATTGTTGAACAAAAATACATCTAAAAAAGAGGCTAGGATTTTAAATATTTCTAAACCTATAATTTAAGGGTAAAATTATTTTTTGACCTTAAGCATTGAAACTTCATTGAAGAATATGGTCCTTTGAGCTTAAGGATCTTTTTTTAGTACTTTAAAATGTTAGGCATGTCATTTACACTTGAACAAAAAATACTGTATTGAACAGATTCAGTACAATCCCATATTAATGTCCCTTTTGACACAATGAAATACTTTGTTTTAAGAAATGAAAGGAAAAAAAAATGAATGGAAATAGAAATAGGAAAATGAATGGAGCTCCACTTCTTAAAAAAATATGTTTGATATATACATATATATATATATATATATAAGAATAATAAAATAATTGTAATAATTTTACACACTATATGTATTAGATTGATGATGGGATTGAATTTTTATGGTATTAAAAAACAAAAATATCCTAGACTTAAATTTTGTCTTCGATGAAGCCTGGTTTGCCTAAGGCAGGTTTTAAGGCATTTAAGTGGAGTTACCTTTTACAATGAATTTATTTTCATTACATCAAAAAACCAGTTTACATGATTTCAATCTTTTTTTTTATTCCCTCCATCTTTATATATAAGATATTTTTAATCAACACATAAATTAATAACAATTTATTATCTAATTAAAAGCATAACAACATTTTAATTTTATTCCTAATTATTATAAATAAAAAATGAATCTCCTTTTTTAAAGTAAATTAATGAGTGTATTTATTTTTTTCTCTTTTTAATTTAATAAGGGTATAATAGTTCATTCATTAAAAAATACTAACAACTCTTTATATTTAAAGATAAAAAAATTTAAAAAACTTTTTATATAAAGAAAGAAAAAGGATACTTTTTAAACTTTTTGAAAGTGTAAAATTGTGCATGAGTTTTTAATTGAAGTAAATGCAAGTCCCATATATTATATGAAAGAAAAGCGACTTCTAGAAGTATTTTAACTGCTTATTTTAATATATCTCTTATTAATTACCTTATGATAACATCTAATGCATTAAATTGAGAGACATCAATTTTTTCTTCTTGTAAAGAAAAAGTTGAGTAGTACAATGATGAATGATGAATCAAAATAAAGATCTTTTTCACATAGCATTAAAAACTTACAAGTAGATTGAATCCAAAGCCGATTTCATGAGATTGGAAGAATTAGTTGGAGTGCATTAAAAAGTTAGGGAGCGTGAAAAGGACATAATGGTTTATGGTTGAGGACCTTGATGGGAAATCTCAGCTGAAATATCTTATCGTTCACACTAAATTGTATCTGCACCAAGTGTTCTAGTAAGTCACTTAAAAAAAAATAATAGTTAAGCCTCATAATATTTAATAAATAATAATTTAGTTTTCAATAAATTTTTTTAAAAATAAATTAAAAATATCTATTTTAATAATTATAAATTAATTAAAGTATACATTTAATTCTTTAATTTTATATAACATTTCATTTTAATCCTTTAACTTTATAAAGTATCTTTTTAATTATTTAACCTTAACACTGCTAATTTTATTTCAACAAATTTTTTTAAAATAAAAATAATTAATATAAAAAATAATCATTTGAAACTAACAATGTTAAGGTTAAAGGATTAAAAAGAATTTTATAAAATTAAAGAACCTTATTTACGATGCTAGGGATGATTGCTTCCATTATTGACCAAAAAGACACCAAATTCTCAAATTAAAATCTTATATAAAGTTAAAAGACTAAACGTATATTTCAACTTTATAAATTTAAGAATTTTCATTACAAATAAGAATTTAAAAATCATATATAACTTTTAAGTTGTAACAGAAATTTTTATTTGTAATTGTTTGAATTGATGTTTTTAATTTATTTTTTAGATAATTTTGTCAAAATCTAATTATCATTAATTCAATCTTTGGGATATAATTGTTATTATTCCTACAATTAACTCATAAAGTTATATTATTAAAATTATCTAAAAATTGTTTTGATTTTTATTTTCATTCTTAATAACTACCATAAATTTTAAAAGCAAACTAATTTTATCTCCTCATTGAAAGTTGAGAAGAAGGGCATATTTGGAATACAATATTTAATGCTACAAAAACTTTTTCAAAGTATATTATATTAAATATAAAAAAAATTTTCTTAAATGATTAATGAAGATTGAATCTAATAAAAGAGACTAGCTTTTAACAACGTAATAAACTAAAATTTGAATTCTGATGAGAAAGTGCCCACGTTAAATGTTCAATCGTACCTCCAATAAAAAATGCTTGTAAAAAGTACTTATGAGCAATAGCATTGCACTATTTTAATTTAAAATCTTGAGTTTGAACTCTAAAAATATATTAGTGGTGAAGCTTTCAACTAAGAGATCTGATCTGGTTATATCCAAATTAATTTGGACCCCACTAAAAATCTTTCATCCTTGAAAAATTCTTAAGTAAATCGAGTGCACCACATTATTTATGGTCTGTCCAATAAAAATATAATATTTAAATTATATTAAATGTAAATTGATTTTTATATTAATAATAGTAGATAGAGAAAGTAAGAAATTAAATTTATATTCTATTATAAGAATAAAATCAGTTAAAAAATGTCACATAAAATTATATTTAAATTACTTAAAATATTTTAATTAAATAAATTATAAATGATAAAATACATCTTCTCTATCTAAATATTTCTGTCCGTCCTTAAGGTGAGCATGGCTTAAGATACCAGGTCTTTTTTATGGGAAAGAAGATTTGATGAAACAAACCACCTGGCAGCATCCGAATCTGTTGAAAACGCGTAGGCTTTAATTGGAATTTGACTCAAGTCAACTAACCATACGTTCCTCATTCCTGACAAACATCATTTTCACATATACATTCATATAATGTCTAATTATTTAAATCTAATTCATATTTTTACTTTTTTTTTCAATTTAAAAGACTGGTTGACCTTGTTAAATCCAAGTTCACACTACATAATGTTTAAAAGTCTCAATTTTAGTACGAATTTGGTTTGACAGTGATGAGAATATCCTGAAATCACGCTAACTAGTAATTGCCACTTCTAGACAAAACCACAGTTTGGAATCACATATACTCCATCTGTTTATTATTATAAAACATGTTTTTAAAATTTTATGTTTTAAAGTATTTTTCATAATGTTAAGAGTAATTAACATGCCTATTCTAAAATTATCCTGACAAAAATTAATTGACCTCCCATTAATGTAATAGTAATTGATATGCCTATTCTAAAAATGTTCTGACAAAAATTAAATTGACCTCCCGTTAATGTAATTGATCAAAACAATAAACTTTATTCTTTACAATTTAAAATATAAGACATTTTAATTAAATTTATAAGAATAAAAAAAGTAGTTTATTGGTAAAAAAATTATCACTTCTTTCTAAGATTACCCTTCAATTAAAATAATGTATCTTAATTACTTTTAATTTCTCTTTTATATAATCTGTCTCCACAATAAAATTATTAAGGGCATTTTTCAAAAAACGAATTTGATGTTATTGATTTTTTTGTAAAGTGTTTTATATTCTAGACTAATACTAATTGATAAAAACTGTCTTATTTTTTGAACTAGGGAGCACTTAATTAAGAGTATATTTTAAAAAAAATTAAAATATTGTACAGACATTAACTAATTTCTCCTTCCAATTCTATATATTAGTCATATTGCATAAAAAAAAAAGTGGACTATTAATTAGTGTTTTTCGAAATCACCCTTATTTATAATTATTCAGGATTTCCCTTTTCGAAATTCATGCTTTTAAATTGGATTAAACTTGACAGGTTATTTTATTCTTAGACCATTTTAATGATTCAATTGCATTTTCTTAATTCTAATGAAATAACTAAAAGTGACTTATGTTTAGTATTATATTTAGTATCAAATAGCGTACATTTTTTTTTATCAACTAAAAAACAAAAAACAACAATACTTGTGGGCGTGGCAATACTTGTAGACTTTGCCCTACTAATAGTATCCTTGGCTAAAAGATTGGACAAAAAAAGTGATAGTGAAAACACTCATCCTATTATACTCACCTCCATGATAACTAAAACTATAATATAATGCCCATTTGGATTTTAATTTATATTTAATAAAAATATATTTAAAAAATATAATTATTTATTATGCTTAATAAAAATAGATTTCAGATGTGATTTGAATATATTTTTAAAATTTTTTTAAATAGGTATGTATAATGAGTTTTACAGTAACTTTTGCATGGGGTAAGAATGATAGAAAACCCAATATTGGTAGCCATTGTAGCTAAGATGTGTTCAATATTTCATCTGCTCCTCCAATTCCCAAGAGTCAATTGGCCTTCTTGAATACACATGACCAGCATCAGACAATCTGATTCAATTTAAGATGATCTTATCACTGCTTCAATCATGAGCCAGTATCAGAGTAACAGTGACATTTATGAAAATAATCATATGGACTCAATA